CTGCCATCAACTCCGCTGGACCGGCCACGTTGTCCGGATGCCCGACCACCGTCTCCCAAAGCAGTTGCTCTACTCCGAACTCAAGAACGGAAAACGGAATGTTGGTGGACAGGAAAAGAGATTTAAAGATGGGCTCAAAGCCAACCTTAAAAACTCTGGCATAGACACTGAGAACTGGGAAGCCCTGGCCCTTGAGTGCTCCAGCTGGAGGTCAGCTGTGACCAGCAGTGCTGCAGAATTTGAAGAGTCACGAATGGAGGGTGAAAGAGAGAAGCATGCCAAGAGGAAGGCGCGTTAAGCCAACCCCAACCAAGACCGCCTTCCATCTGGAAACCAATGCCCTCAACTGCGGAAGAAGATGCAGGTCAAGAATAGGGCTCCACAGCCACCTACGGATCTACAAGAATACTGATCCTGGAAGACTATCCTACTTGGTCAACGAGGGATCGCCTAAGTAAAGTAAGGGCCCAAGTTTGCCCATGCTGCTCTAGATTCAGAAACTGGACCATATTACAGTGTTAGGCTTCTCTCATCCCTGACCACAATATTGTGACTGAGGGGGAAAAGGAAAGGGCCCGAGAAGGTTAGGAATTGTGGGAGTTGAAGTCCAAAACACTCGGAGGCCCTAAGTTTACCCATGCCTGTAATGTTATAAGTATTGAATGCCACTGCAACCTACTGCCGAATCTCCAAATCCTTCCCTCCCAACCCAATGCTCACCTGCAATAGCAGCCCATGATGGAAGCATGCATTCAGAATATTATAAATAGCTTATTATTTTTAATTGTTTCCATAAGGAGAGACATCAAATGGATTTTCAACCCCCAGGGCAAAAAAAAAAAAATAATTCCAGTGTAAATTGCAACACCGCTGCACTTCTTTAGGTTGCAGGAATGTTTTTCCTCTTGGAATCATGAAAGTTCCTTGATTCTTTTTTCCTCCCAAAAGTTCGTCAAGCGTATCATTTCCAGTTTCTTTTTCCAGGAGGGAGGGTTTCATACAGTGAAGCGTACCACCCAAAATGATCCCATTCTCCCATGAGGAGCACCAACCATTCTGGAATTGCAAACAATCGGAGCAGAAAGAAAGTCCAAGATTTTTCAGAATTTCACAGGCGGAAAGCTGCATCGTTGTGTGTTTTCCCAGGCAAAAGGTGCCAGCAATTGGGCTGCAGGTGACCCAGGAATCTGGCAACATTTACCAACCACTTCCGAGAGAGAAACAGAGAACGGAAAGAGAAGCTCACAATGGAAAATTAGAGCTGCCGCACCTCTGGAAACCTCAAAGTAAATTAAAAAACCGGGAAGTGGTGGTTTGCACAGATCCGGCAGTACAAAGAAAATTAAGGTCAGGCAAAAACAAACCTATGCAGGGTGTGTGTGTTTGTGTTAAAGCAATGAGCTGCTAAAGTTGTTGACCGAAAGGTCACAGGCTCAAATCCGGGGAGAGGCATGAGCTTCCACTGTCAGTCCCAGTCAGTCGTGTTTTCAAACTGCCAACCTAGCAGTTTGAAAACACGAAAACGTGAGATCAATAGGTACTGCTCCAGTGGGAAGGTAATGGCACTCTATGCAGTCATGCCGGCCACATGACCTTGGAGGTGTCTACGGACAACGCCGGCTCTTCAGCTGAGAAATGGAGATGAGCACCAACCCCCAAAGTCAGACACGACTAGACTTAATGTCAGGGGAAAACCTTTACCTTTACCTTTGCCTATGAAAAAGAGCTTGCCCTACTGGGTTCCCCGAAAGTTCTCTCCATCTTCAGCCCAGATTGAAGGCCACGTTTCATCTGATCAGGTAGGAGCCCCCAATGGTGCAATGGGTTAAACCCTTGTGCCGGCAGGACAGAAGATGGACAGGTTTCAAGCAACAGTCTCACAATTGCACTTTTCAGGCTCGATGGAATATTATCCTGTACCAATGAGGCATTTATGATCTGAAGTCTGACAGGTCAGAGGTTTGATTCCAGGGAGAGCATGAGTGAAATCCCTATGTCAGCTCCAGCTCCCCATGTGGGGACATGAGAGAAGCCTCCTACAAGAATGGTAAAACATCAAAACATCCAGGCGTCCCCTGGGCAACATCCTTGCAGCCAATTCTCTCACAACAGAAGTGACTTGCAGTTTTTCAAGTCACTTCTGACACAGAAAAACAAATCAGATCAGGTTATGATTCGAATGCATTAATACATGGGAATGTAGTTTAACTCAGACAACCTGTATTAAATAATAGAGGTACTATAACAATAGACGGAGGTTCAAATCTGAGGAGAACGTGGATGAGCTCCCTTTGTCAGTTCCAGCTTCCCATGTGGGGACATGAGAGAAGCCTCCCACAAGGATGGTAAAAAACATAACATCTGGCCGGACCCTGGGCAACTTCCTTGCAGACGGCCAATTCTCTCACAACAGAAGCAACTTGCAGTTTTTCAAGTCGCTCCTGACACAGAAAAAAAAATCTGACCAGGTTATGATTTGAATACATGTAGTTTATGTTTTAGAGAAAAGTAATGGCAAGCCATCTTTGAGTATTCCTTGCCTATGAAAGACCTATTAAATTAATGCATCAACATGTTTTGGGGTTTTTTTTGTGCGTGTGTCAGGAGTGCAACTGCAAGTCTCTTCTGGTGTGAGAGAATTGGCCATCTGCAAGGATGTTGCCCAGGGGACACCTGGATGTTTTACCATCCTTGTGGGAGGATTCTCTCATGTCCCTGCATGGGAAGCTGGAGCTGACAGATGGAAGCTCACTCTGCTACCCGGATTCGAACCACCGACCTTTCGGTCAGCAGTCCTGCCATCAGAAGGGTTTACCCATTGCATCACCAAGGGTTCCTGCATCAACAGGTAACCATAAGGCACTTGGGTTATTGTTATATGTTTTCTCTTCAAAGGAAAAAGGCATCAAAACTCTGCAAACAGTCCACTTAAGGTCATTGCAACATCTGATTTGACAGTTTCGGGTTAAAATTTCAGAGGAGAAGGCAAGAGGCAAGCCTTGCTCTGCCAACCACAAGGAGGAAAAGAACCACAGGACTGGAGAGTCGGAAGGAATCCCAAAGGGCACCTAGTCCAACCCCTTGTCAATGGAGAGCATCCAAGAACAATTTCTTCCTCTCTTGTAAATACATGTGGAAAATATTCACATTGGCGAGGGAAAGCACAGGAGTGGTTTCTACCCAAGCTATGATTCAAAAATTGTGAGATTGTGTATCCATTCATTATGCTCAGGAAGTTGGTCTCTAAAGGCAAACTCCACTTTTGTAAATATTGCCATTATTGGAATTCAACCCCATTCTGACCAAGGCCTCAACGAGGAGCAGTTAGTTTAGTATAGACTTAGCTTTCCCTTCTCCCATGTCTCTTGTATGACACTTCGGAATGTATCTGTTTCTGTTCTCATTCAGATTGGTTGTGTAGAATGGATACTTTTTGTATTGCAAGCCTTTACTTTGACTTCTGTTTCCTACATCCGAGTAGGTGCTGTGTGCTTTGAGATCTCTCTCTGCTTGTGTGCCAAAGAGATGTTGTGATTGGTGTTTTTCCCCCCTCTCTCTTAAAACCTTAGAGAATATGAGTTTTAAGAGTAGCTCTGACTCCATTCTTGATTATTAAGAAATGTAGTTATTGTTTCTTATTATTGGAACTAAACCTTTTGTGACTTTTTAAGATTGAACTCTGCATCTTTGCCTGCCTAACATCTAAATCAGGGGCCCTCAAACTTTTTAAATAGAGGGCCAGGTCACAGTCCCTCAAACTATTGGAGGGCCGGATTATAATTTGAAAAAAAAAACATGAATGAATTCCTATGCACACTGCACATTGGACAGATGGCAAGCTATTTAACCTCAGGAGATTGAAAGCAGAAACCAAGGTCATAACAACATCTGTTATAGAACTCCAGTATGCTGATGACAATGTCATCTGTGCACATTCAGAAGAAGACCTACAAGCCACTCTAAACACCTTCGCAGAAGCATACGAGAAGCTTGGCCTTGTCACTGAACAATGAGAAAAACAAAGTGCTCTTCCAGCATCACCAGCCAATCCCTCTGCAATGCCAGAAATACAGCTTAATGGTATAACACTGGAAAATGTTGACAATTTCTGCTACCTTGGCAGCCACCTCTCCGCAAAAATCAACATCGACACCGAAATACAACACCACCTGAGCTCTGCGAGTGCAGCATTTTTCCAAATGAAGCACAGAGTGTTTGAGGATCGGGACACCCGTAGGGATACCAAGGTGATTGTTTATAAAGCTATTGTCCTCCCAACCCTGCTATATGCCTTTGAGACGTGGACAGTCTACAGACGTCACATGCAGCTCCTGGAACAATTCCATCAGCGCTACCTCCGGAAAATCCTACAAATCTCTTGGGAAGACAAGCAGACAAATGTCAGCGTGCTGGAAGAAGCAAAGACCACCACCATTGAAGCGATGGTCCTCTGCCATCAACTCCACTGGACCGACCACGTTGTCCGGATGCCTGACCACCGTCTCCCAAAGCGGTTGCTCTACTCTGAACTCAAGAATGGAAAACGGAATGTTGGTGGGCAGGAAAAGAGATTTAAAGATGGGCTCAAAACCAACCTTAAGAACTCTGGCATAGACGCTAAGAATTGGGAAGCCCTGGCCTGTGAGTGCTCCAGTTGGAGGTCAGCTGTGACCAGCAGTGCTGCAGAATTTGAAGAGTCACGAATGGAGGGAGAAAGAGAGAAATGTGCCAAGAGGAAGGCGCATTAAGCCAACCCTGACTGGAACCGCCTTCCACCTGGAAACCAATGCCCTCACTGCAGGAGTCGATGCAGATCAAGAATAGGGCTCCACAGTCACCTATGGAAGATTATCCTACTCTGACAACGAGGGGTCACCTAAGTAAGTAAGTAAGCACATATCTTATTTGTAGTGCAAAAAGAAAACACTTAAAATCAATACAATAATTAAAAGGAAGAACCATTTTAACAAATATTAGTATTTCAACGGGAAGTGCGGACCTGCTTTTGGCTGATGAGATAGGATTGTTGTTGTTGTTGTTGTTGTGTGCTTTCAAGTCATTTCAGACTTAGGTTGACCCTGAGCGACAGCCAGGTAAATGACCTTGGAGGGCCGTATTTGGCCCCCGGGCCTCAGTATGAGGACCCCTGATCTAAATTCTTTACAGCCACATCACATGGCACTTCACACTTTGCTAGCTGTGAGCTGTTGCTCAACTTTAAGTATCCTGTTTGCTTTTTGGATGCTCTGACCTGTTTGCTTTTTGGATGCTCTGCTATATTTTAGGGTAGTTTTCCCTAGCAGTCATGATGAGAATAATACTGTGCCCATCAGAAGGACAAATTATCCAGAACTACGTTGTCAATACAATCAACCACAAAGTGCAGAGCCAATGCCAACCCTCCAATCCTCCCCACTGTCCAAAGAGATAGAGATTGCGACTCCTTTAGTTGCTTCGTTAGTTGCCCCCTTCTGCCCAAAGAAGTCAATCTCCTCCTCTTCCGGCACTGCCATGATAAGATTCAAATTCTGATCGTCAGAAGATTGAGAAAGCCAAATTGCCAATATTGTCAACCACTTGGCACAGAGCGCAGAGCAAATGCCAGACCTCCTGACCCCATTGTCCATCCAATGGAGAACCGCATCTACTTGGGTACGAACGACAGCACTGTCTGCAAGAGTCCGGACCCGCAATGTGCCCATGTCAACCGGATGAGGATCACCTTGTACAGCCACACGCCTTGTAGGCATCCCGAGAGGAATGACCCGCTACCGCACGCACACGCACTTCCTCCACCAGGCTTTGGAGAGCGTTCGGAGGCAGCTGGCGGGGCTCCTGCGCGCCTTTGGCAAGGGGTGTTCTGGGTGCCGCAGCCCCACCGCGATGGCTGTGTCGAACACCTCCTTGAGGTTGTGCTGAGTGAGAGCAGAGCACTCCAGGTAGCCCACCAGGCCCAGCTTCACGGAGAGTGCCCGGGCGGCACCGGGGGCAACGGGCTTCTCTCGGCGACGGGCCAAGGCGATCAGCACCTTGACATCTTGGCGCAGGTCGGACTGGGTGCCCACAAGCAGCACTGGGGTAGAGGGGCAGTGGCGCCGCACTTCGGGGTACCACTTGTCGGCAATGTTTTGGAAAGAGGTGGGCGCCACCACGCTGAAGCACAGCAGGAGGATGTCCGCCTTCGGGTAGAAGACCTGGCGCAGCGTGTCAAATTCGTCCTGCGGGCAAGAAGGAGGGAAGGAAGGTAAGTAGTGCACTGTGTAATAAGCATCTATCAATAAGCATCTATCAAAGGATGTATGTATGTATGTTTGTTTGTGGGTTTGTACCAGAAAGGCTCCTACCTGGCTTGATGGATCATGACCAACCTTGGCATACAGACCCTTCATTATAGAATAGAACAACTTCATTGCCATTGTACATCATCTAGCTTACAACAATTGAGGGGTTTGAATTAATAAAGAAAATCACCCCTTTTCATGTATATAGAAAGGGACCTGCAATTCTAAGACATCTTTAGAGATGTCTAGGTACGACGACACATCTTAGATTGAAGAAATCCTATATACACACACCACACACACACACGTATATGTATATATGTATGGGAATTATCTCCTGACATTTCACCCACATCTATGGCAGGCATCCTCAGAGGTTGTGAGGTGTGTTGAAAACTAGGCAAGTGGAGTTTATATATCTTTGCAATGATGTCCAGGGAAGGAGAAAGAACTCTTGTCTGCTGGAGGCAAGTGCGAATGTTGCCATTGGCCATCTTGATTAGCATTGAATAGCCTTGCAGCTTCAAGGTCTGGCTGCTTCCTGCCTGTGGGAATCCTTGGTTGGGAGGTGATTAGCTGGCTCTGGTTGTTTCTTGTTTGGAATTCGATTGTTTTTGGGTGAAATAACTCTTGTCTGTTTGAGGCAAGTGTGAATGCTGCAATTGGCCAACTTGATTAGCATTTAATGGCCTTGCAGTTTCAAAGTCTGGCTGATTCCATCTGAACATGAGGAAGAACTTCCTGACTGTGATAGCCTTTCAGCAGTGGAACTCTCTGCCCTGGAGTGTGGTGGAGGCTCCTTCTTTGGAAGCTTTTAAACAGAGGCTGGAGGGCCATCTGTCAGGGGTGCTTTGAATACAATTTTCCTGCTTCTCAGCAGGGGGTTGGACTGGATGGCCCATGAGGTCTCTTCCAACTCTATGATTCTACGTCACAGGAAAGTGTTTATGCATATGTATTAGGGATAGAAACTATATTTGCAAGTATAATATTAATTTCCAAACTCAAAAAATAGATTTCCAGATGGTCATGTGGATGTTGCAGTTGGCCAACTTGATTAGCATTGAATGGCCTTGCAGCTTCAAAGTCCGGCTGATTCCTGCCTGCGGGAATCCTTTGTTGGGAGGACAAGTCTACATAGGGACCATCAAACACAGCATTGCCAAACAGGAATCAAGGAACATGAAAGGCACTGCAGACTAATTCAGCCTGAGAAGTCAGCTATAGCAGAACACCTGATGAACCAACGTGGGCACGGCGTATTATTTGAGAACACAGAAATGCTGGACCACTCTCACAACCACCATGTCAGACTACAAAGGGAAGCCACTGAAATCCACAAGCGTGTGGACAGCTTCAACAGAAAGGAGGAAACCATGAAAACAAATAAAATGTGGCTACCAGTATTTAAAAAAAACTCTAAAATCAGGACAGTAAATAAAGAACAACACCCAAAAAAATTACAGGGGAATTCCAGACAGGAAATAATCAGGGCCAGCTAACACCTCTCAACAAAGGACTATCCCAGGCAGAAAACAGCCATGCTTTGAAGCTGCAAAGCTATTCAATGCTAATCAAGGTGGCCGACATTCACACTTGCCTCCAACAGACAAGAGTTCTTTCTCCCATCCTGGATCTTTATTTATTTATTTATTTATTTATTTGCTGTATTTGTATACCACCTTTCTCAGCCCATAGGCAACTCAAGGTGTAAACAGGGTAAAATTCCATGCTTACAGTATTATAAATACAATTAAAAACATAACATATAATAAAAAACTAAACAAATCAATAAAATATAAATTCATAGTTTCTCCTTGTTAAAAACGTTGTCCGGTCTCATTGTCGTCATTCCATTTTCCTATGTCAGTTAAATGCTTGTTCAAAAAGCCACCTATTAACTTTTTCCAGAATGTTAAAAGGGAGGTGACTGATCTAATATCTATAGCAGTGTTTCTCAACCTTCCCAATACCGTGCCCCCTTAATACAGTTCCTCATTTGTGCTGACCGCCAACCATAACATTTTCGTTGCTACTTCATAACTATAATTTTGCTACTGTTATGAATTGTAGATAGTCGATATGTAGGATGTATTTTCATTCACTGGACCAAATTGGGCACAAATATTCGATATACCCACATTTGAATACTGGTGGGGTTGTGGAGGATTGATTTTGTCATTTGGGAGTTGTAGTTGCTGGGATTTATAGTTAACCTACAATCAAAGAACATTCTGAACTCCACTAACAGTGGAATTGGACTAAATTTGGCACACAGAACTCCCATGACCAACATAAATTATTGGAAGGATTAGGTGGGCATTGACCTTGAGTTTTGGAGTTGTAGTTCACCTACATCCAGAGAGCTCTGTGGACTCAAACAAAGATGGATTTGGATCAAACTTGACACGAATACTCAATATGCCAAAATGTGGACACTAGTGGAGTTTGGGGAAATAGACCTTGACATTTGGGAGTTGTAGTCACTGGGATGTATGGTCCACCAACAATTAAAGAGCGTTCTGAACCCCACCAATGATAGAATTGGGCCAAAGTTCCCACACAGAACCCCATGACCAACAGAAAATACTGTGTTTTCTGATTGTCTTTGGCGACCCCTCTGACAACCCCCTCGCAACCCCCTCAGGGGTCCCGACCCACAGGTTGAGAAACACTGATCAATAGGGAGGGCATTCCATAGCCGAGGGGCCACCACCGAGAAGGCCCTGTCTCTCGTTTCCGCCAAACATACAAACGTACAAAGGCGGTAACGAGACCAGGATCTCCCTAGAGGATCTTAACATTATTATTAAGATTATTCCACAAGTTTCCAATATACTTCACAACTTCTGCCATAGATGTGGGTGAAATGTCAGGAGAGAATGCTTCTGGAACATGGCCTGACAGCCATGAAAACTCATAGCAACCCATAGTTAAGATACATAGATAAAACAAAAGACTAAAGACCAATAGTAATACAATGCAAATTTAAAATGCATTCACACCTAGCTCCAGCAGACAAGAGTCCTTTGTCTCACCCTGGTCATTCCACAGACATATAAACCCCTTTTTCCTAGTTCCAACAGACCTCACAACCTCTGAGGATGCTTGCCATAGATGCAGGCCAAATGTCAGGAGAGAACGCCTCTAGACCAGTGTTTCTCAACCTGGGGGTCGGGACCCCTGGAGGGGTCACGAGGGGGTGTCAGAGGGGTCACCAAAGACCACCAGAAAACACAGTATTTTCTGTTGGTCATGGAGGTTCTGCGTGGGAAGTTTGGCCCAGTTTTATCATTGGTAGGGTTCAGAATGCTCCTTGATTATAGGTGAACTCTAAATCCCAGCAACTACAACTCCAAATGCCAAGGTCTATTTTCTCCAAACTCCACCAATGTTCACATTTGGGCATATTGAGTTTTTGTACCAAATTTGATGGTCCAGATCCATCATTGTTCACAGTGCTCGCTGGATGTAGGTGAACTACAACTCCCAATGCCCACCAATGCCTTCCTGTATGTTCTGTTGGTCATGGGAGTTCTGAGTACCAAATTTGGCCCAATTCCATCATTGGTGGAGTTCAGAATGCTCCTTGATTGTAGGTGAGCTATAAATCCCAGCAACTTCAACTCCCAAATGAGAAAATTACACCGCCCACAACCCCACCACTATTCAAATTTGGGCATATTGGGTATTTGTGCCAAATTTGGTCCAGTGAATGGAAATACATCATATCAGATATTTACATTACAATTCCTAACAGTAGTAAAATTATAGTTATGAAGTAGCAATGAAAATAATTTTATGGTTGAGGGTCACCACAACATGAGGACCTGTATTAAGGGGTCACTGCATTAGGAAGGTTGAGAACCACTGCTCTAGAACATGGCCATATAGCCCAAAAAAACCTACAACAACCCAGTGATTCCGGCCACGAAAGCCTTCGACAATACATTAAAATGCATAGTTTGCAATTGAGTGGGAAGGATTGCTGGGAGAGAGAGGTCAGGAACGAACCATCGGACTCATGATGTACCTTTTCAAATGGGTTCAATGCCTCCTTCTACATCAAGGCAAGTTTTAAATAACAGTTATCTGGCTTCGGGGCACTCAGTACAAACAAACAGGAACCTACACCTTAATGGGCAAACCGCAGAATTCCCGCCCTGTTTCAACGCCTTCCGCAAGTCCTTGCAAACCCAAAATAAACACGATTCCCTGGGTATTTCTCTTTTGCCATCTCCAGATCAGTTGGATAAGACTTCTAGGGATTTTCCAACTTTTTATATCAGGTCAGGTCAATAAAACCTGCAAGGAAGTCGGTGCCTTTGAATATATTTTTAGCTCTTGTTATCGACTCGCTCCTATAAGAAAATAATAAATCTCTTTCAACACAGGGTGAATGTCAACAGAGAAGCTTCCACTTTCGAACTCAAGAATAGTTTATTTTGAAATGACTAATAAGCTCAACGAGGAAGAGACATCTTGAGCCTGTTCACACTACGAAGTTATAGCACTTTGATTCCACTTTAACTGCATTGGTTCCATCCTATGGCAAATGGTAATTTTCGGTTTACGGGAAGGGCATTTTGAACTCTTTCTTATTATTCCAACAGTGGAACTTACTGCCTCGAGACATCAGAAGAGTAACAAAATTGTTATTGTTGCTATTATTATTATGCACAGCTCTTGCTCATAATATGGAGAGAAAAAGCAAAGTTGTTGTTGTTGTTGCTATTATTATTATTATTATTATGCACCACTTTTGCCCATAATATGGACAGAAAAAAACAAGACATGTTGCAAAAATTGCAGTGTTGACAGTGGGGATTCTGGGGATTGTAGTCCAAAAAAGAATCATAGAATCATAGAGTTGGAAGAGACCTCATGGGCCATCCAGTCCAACCCCCTGCCAAGAAGCAGGAATATTGCATTCAAATCACCCCTGACAGATGGCCATCCAGCCTCTGTTTAAAAGCTTCCAAAGAAGGAGCCTCCACCACACTCCGGGGCAGGGAGTTCCACTGCTGAACAGCTGTCACAGTGAGGAAGTTCTTCCTCATGTTCAGATGGAATCTCCTCTCTTGTAGTTTGAAGCCATTGCTCAGTTTCTTAGTCTCCAGGGCAGCAGAAAACAAGCTTGCTCCATCCTCCCTATGACTTCCTCTCACATAGTTATACATGGCCCTCATCATGTCTTCTCTCAGCCTTCTCTTCTTCAGGCTAAACATGCCCAGCTCTTTAAGCCGCTCCTCACAGGGCTTGTTCTCCAGACCCTTGATCATTTTAGTCGCCCTCCTCTGGACACATTCCAGCTTGTCAATATCTCTCTTGAATTGTGGTGCCCAGAATTGGACACAATATTCCAGATGTGGTCTAACCAGAGCAGAATAGAGGGGTAGCATGACTTCCCTAGATCTAGACACTAGGCTCCTATTGATGCAGGCCAAAAAGAGCAATATTTACCTCCCATAGTACTCCCCACCCCCTTCTAAGAGCAATGTGGTGCAGCAGCCTGAGTTCGAATCCCTGCTTGGTTATGGAAAATCACTGGGGGAGTCACACACTCTCAGCCCAAACGAAAACCCCAGGGAAGGGCCTCCATTGTTTGGAAACAACCCCAAGGCAACAAACAACAACAAATTTCTTCCAAAGGCGAGCCTGGAGAGCCTTTCCTCCTTAGCATGGGTATGTTTACACCATTCTCAATATTTAAATGGAACATGCAAACACATTCAAGAGAGGACAGAAAACGTTTCAAACAACTAAGAGTCCAAAATGAGTTCTAGGGACTCCAATGCCCAATATCCACAGTGGCCATGTGGGCTGGGGGATTCTGGGAGTTGTTACTCCCAAAGGGCTTCTGTATGGAAGGGGATGAAAACAGGGTAAATAATAATAATAATAATAATAATAATAATAATAATAATAATAATGCAACCACCATAATGATGACAATAATATAGCATTAAAATAATAATATAATAATGCATTAATAAATATTATAATGCAATAATAATAAGATAATAATAATAAAACAGGAAAAATAATAATGCAACAATGATAATGATAATAATATGGCAATTAAATAATATATAATAATGGAATACTAAAATAATAAAATAATAATAATATGGCAAGAATAATAATGCAACAATGATAATAAATAATAGGGAATAATAATAATACAGCTATAATTATAATATGACATAATAACAATGCAGGAAAATAATAAGGGAAGAATAGTAATGCAATAATAATTATGATAATAATATGGCAATAACAATATTATTATTAATAATAATACGGAACCATATGATAATGCAACGATAATGATAATATGACAATAAAATAATAGAATAGAATAATAAAATAATAATGCAGCAAAAATAATAATGCAATAATAATTATGATGATTGGCAAGAATAATAATGCAACAATAATGATAATAATATGGCAATAAAATAATGTATAATAATGGAATAATAAAATAATAATATGGCAAAAATAATAATGCATCAATAATAATGATTATAATAATATGGCAAAATAATAATACTGCAATAAAATAAAGATAATAATATGAGATAATAATAAAAATGCAATAAAATAATAAGGCAAATAATAATGATGATGATGACGATATGGCAAGAATAATAATGCAACAATAATAATAATTATTATATGGCAATAATAATGCAATGATAATAATGATAATAATATAGCAAAATAATAATAATAATATGGCAAAATAATACAGTAATGCAATAACATAACAATGCAACAATAATATAATTATAATAAGGGAATAATAAAAAATAATTCAGCAAAAATAATACTGCAATAATGAGGATAATAATATAGTAAAATATACTGCAATAAAAAAATGATAATAATAATATGAGATAATAATGAAAGTGCAATAAAATAATAATAAGGCAAAAATAATGATGATAATAATATGGCAAAAATAATAATATGACAATAATAATAATACGACAATAATAATGCAATGATAATAACGATAATAATATAGCAAAATAATAATAATATGGCAAAGCAATACAATAATGCAATAACATAACAATGCAACGATAATTTAATTATAATAATATGGCAAGAATATTAATGCAACGGTAACGATAATAACAATAACATGGCAATAAAATAATATATAATAATGCAATAATAAAATAATGATAATAATACAGCAAAAAGAATGCAATAATAATAATATGGCAAAATAATAATGCTGTAAAATAATAATAATAATAATAATAATAATAATAATGCAACAATAGTATGATAATAATAATAATGCAATGGGGATGAGGATGCCTTACCTGTCCTGCGGTGTCACACAGCTGCAGCCGGATAGGAGACCCATCCACTTGAACCACAGCTAAGAGGGGGGAAAAGCAAAAAATAGTATTTTTATTGAGAATTTCCAAACGTACATCAACAAAAGTGTAAACATCTCCAAAACAGGGACAGGACACCAGAAATGGGAGGGAAGAGCTTCCGACCTCCCCTCCCAAGGGTGAGAAGGGGAAGCCAACCCGCCTCCAGTGAGACTCGAGGCGGGAGGAGTGTGGTGGACTGACCGGAGAAGCGGTCGAGGGCGGTGGGCACGTAGCGCGCGGGGAAGCCGTTGGTGCTGTAGCTGAGCGCCAGGCTGGTCTTGCCCACGGCGCCGTCGCCCAGCAGCACGCACTCCAGGCTCCGCAGCGGCGACGAGGACGCCTCCTCCAGCAGCCGCCGCCGGGGAGCGTGCGGGGGAACCGGAGGGAGCTCCTGCGGAGGCATCGCCAGCGAAGCAAGGAAGACAGAAAGGAGGGACAACCTGCTTCGGCGCCGGACAGACCCGGAATGAGGCGCCGCCACCTGGGCTGCGCGGGGTCCCGGGAGGAGGCTCATTTGCATGGCCGCGCCTCCCTCGGAACAGGACCCGCCCCGTTAGGCACAAACTCTATAGAGCTTATTTGCATGGCCGCGCCTTCTGTGGATTAGGACACGCCCCCTCCAGAATACAAGCCGATGAGGGTGATTTGCATGGCCGCGCCTCCCACACAGCGCCCCCTTTGGATCTTTTGGAAACAAACACTCCAAGGATTCTTATATTTGTATGGTCCCGCCCCCTTTAGAACCTAAGTCGATGGTTAATTTGCATGGCCCCGCCTCCCTCGGAACAGGCCCCGCCCCGTTAGAGACAAACCTTGTGGGCTTATTTGCATGGCCGCGCCTCTCTCGGAACAGGCCCCGCCCCGTTAGACACAAACCTTTTGGGACTTATTTGCATGGCCGCGCCTTCTGTGGAGCAGGACACGCCCCTTCTAGAACACAAACCAATGAGGGTGATTTGCATAGCCGTGCCTCACTCGGAGCAAGCCCCGCCCCGTTAGACACAACCCTTTTGGGCCTTATTTGCATAGCCGCGCCTTCTGTGAAGCAGGGCACGTCCTCCCACTTCAGAACCAAAGCCAATATGGTTGATTTGCATGGCCGCGCCTCTCTCGGAGCAGGCCCCGCCCCCTTTAGAACAAAGCCGATGGGGCTTATTTGCATGGCCACGCCTTCTGTGGAGCAGGGCACGCCCCCTCCAGATCCAAAGCCAATGAGGGTGATTTGCATAACCGCGCCTCCCACACAACGCCCCCTTTTGGATCTCTTGGAAACAAGCACTCCAAGGCATGCAGGGTCAAAGCGGAATTCATTGCAGCCATCCTAAAGTCTATTAAAGTTCATAAAAGTTCATAAAAGTTCCTAAAAATGTTCATGAGAGTTCATAAAAGTTATAGGGGATTATGGGATCATTCCAGCCTGGTGTCCTTGGCAAAACTATGAATTCCCTGATTCTGAACTATCTTTTACAGAGCCCTGGGGCACCGATTACAGAACCAGAGGCAGTGTTCTTTTTAAAGATCATTCATACTTATCCTTTTAATTAATTGATGACTGAGTGACATAGTGAATGGGTGACATAGAGAACTGGGAAGCCCTGGCTCTTGAGTGCTCCAGCTGGAAGTCAGCTGTGACCAGCAGTGCTGTAGAATTTGAAGCGGCACAAATGGAGGGCGAAAGAGAGAAACATGCCAAGAGGAAGGCACAGGTGGACAGCTCAAGATGGGCTCAAAGCCAGCCTTAAGAACTCTGGAATAGACTGTGAGAACTGGGAAGCCCTGGCCTGTGAGCGCTCCAGCTGGAGGTCAGCTGTGACCAGCAGTGCTGCAGAATTTGAAGAGGCACGAATGGAGGGCGAAAGAGAAAAACGTGCCAAGAGGAAGGTGCGTCAAGCCAACTCCAACTGGGGTCCACCTTTCACCTGGAAACCAATGCCTTCACTGTGGGAGAAGATAGGGCTCCACAGTCACCTACGGACCCATCGCCAGGATATTACACTTGGAGGACCATCATCCTCGGACTACGAGGGATCGCCTAAGTAAGTAAGACATAGTGAATCCTTACTCATAACCCTAAGTCAGCTTAATGCCAGTTTACAACTAGAACAAAATATTTTAAGGCGTGATATTTAAACTTTATAGACAATTTCTTTGTAAAATCATATATTTTGTGTATTGTCGAAGGCTTTCATGGCCGGAATCACTGGGTTGTTGTAGGTTTTCCATAGGATGCTTGCCATAGATGCAGGCGAAACATCAGGAGAAAATGCCTCTAGAACATGGCCATATAGCCCGGAAAACCTACAACAATTCACATATATTTTGTATTTCTATCACTTAATATATGGCGTTACCAGTTTTGATGTGGGATAATAAAATAATGAGAACAGCAATTGCAATGGTGCCCTGCGTGCCGATATGACCCTGAGAACTAAGCCTTGTCACCTTTGTTTGCCTCCATTCTTCAGATTCTTTTCCGGAGAAGTTTGCTTCCCTGTTTCATGTCTTCATCTGCAAAAGACAGCTGAAAAGAATTTGTTTGAGCTTTACAGGGAAAAGCCTCCTTATCTCCCTTTAAGTCTTTCGTAATCCCACCTGCCTCCTTGGCAGGGTTGCTTGAAATGTATTTGAAGAATTTGTTCTTTTTGCTCTTATCTCTAGGAGCAAAAGGCTTCCCCAACCCTCTTTCTCCGTCTTTGCATCCTTTATGGTCTATTTGTAAGTCTTGGTTTAGGCTTTAAAGAACACATTGACCACTGTAAGCCTGCCAAGTTTCAGGATGTTTTGGTCATCCACTGAATTTTAGGAAAATATTAAAGTTTTTGCAAATTAAATGTCTTTTTTAAAAATACTAAAAGGGTATCCCCTTGAATTTCTCAACAGCAACTGAACATGAGTTGAGCATCATTCCTGCAAAGTTTCAAAAAGATTTGATCATGCACTGATTTTTAGGAATTTTTTTCCCAATTTAAGCACTTTGGGTGAGTCACACTCTCTCAGCCTCAGAGGCTTGAAAAACATGGCTGTTGGGATAGCCCAGATCCCCTTTCCTTCCTTAATTTCCTGCATGGCAGAATGGTTGGACTGGATGGCCCCTAGGATTGCACCTGTTGTTGTTGTTGTTGTTACAATGACTGAATGGCCATCTGTTGTGGGTGCTTTAATTGTGCTTTTCCTGCACGGCAGAAGGAGGTTGGACTGTATGGTCCCTGGGGTCTTCCACTGAAATATTGTTAAGTTTATGTTGCTCCAAAAGTTTGCCCTGCTTTGAACTGGGTTATCTGAGTCCACATTGCCATATATTCCAGTTCAAAGCAGACATTGTGGGATTTTCTGCCTTGATGTTCTGGGATATAGGGCTGTCTGGAGGAGCCTTTAGGAAATGTAGCAAAAAAGGAGGAAGGAAAGCCTTGTAATAGTGTTGGACTAGATGACCTTTGGATCACCCTCAATATTGAATGCAACATACTTTCAATTACCTTCCATATTTCAGGGAACATCCTGATTTGGAGGGTGGTAGACTTTCCTTCTTTGGAGGTCTCCAAACAGAGGTGTAGTGGGCATCTTTAAGGAGTGCTTTAGTGGTGTACACCTGCCTCACTGTAGGAGGTTAGACTAGATGGTCCTTGGGATCCCCTTCCAACTTAAGTTGGTTATGGACTTCAACGTAAGATGGATGGACATCTTTTGAGAATGCTTTAATGGTGTTGGATTACATGACCTTTGGGTTACCCTCCATATTTAATGCAACATACTGCTTTTGGTTACCCTCCATATTTCAGGGAAAATGCTGATTTGGAGGGTGATAGACATCCCTCCTTTGGAGGTCTTCAAACAGAGGTGTAGTGGGCATCTTTAAGGAGTGCTTTAGTGGTGTACATCTGCTTAACAGTAAAATATGCCCTTGGGATTTGTTAATTTTCATGGTTTCCTCCTTTCTGTTGAAATTGTCCACATGCTTGTGGATTTCAATGGCTCCTCTGTGTAGTCTGACATGGTGGTTGTGAGAGTGGTCCAGCATTTCTGAGTTCTCAAATAATATGCTGTGTCCAGGTTGGTTCATCAGGTGCTCTGCTATGGCTGACTTCTCTGGTTGAAGTAGTCTGCAGTGCCTTTCATGTCCCTTGATTCGTGTTTGGGCCTTGCTGCATTTGGTGGTCCCTATGTAAACTTGTCCACAGCTGCATGGTATACTATCTACAGACCCACCAAGAAAATCCAACAAATGCTACTTTCAGCAAAAGACAAGAGGGGTCCTCTCACTTCTGCAGGAGTCTACCGTATACCATGCAGAAAGGAGGAAACCATGAAAATGAACAAAATCTGGCTACCAGAATTAAAAAAACCTTTAAAATTACAACAGCAAAACAACAGAGAGGAAACAATCAGGGACATCTAATCACCTACCAACAAAAGATTGCCCCAGGACAAGCCACACCAAACAACTGCCAGGCCATCAAATGCTAATCAAGGTGGCCAGTTGAAACATTCACACCTAGCTCCAGCAGACAAGAGTCCTTTGTCCCACCCTGGTCATTCCACAGATATATAAACCCATTTTCCTAGTTCCAACAGACCTCACTACCTCTGAGGATGCTTGCCATAGATGCAGGTGAAACGTCAGGAGAGAATGCGTCTAGAACATGGCCATATAGCCCAAAAAAAACTACAATAACTCAAAAATACAAAACTATCTTGGCAAGCTTCTGCACACAAAACTTAAGCATGTAACTGTTGCCAAAACTCCCAGGCTCAGCTAGCTTCTGGGTGAGCCCCAACCAATCAGCTTTGTGCTTTGGATTTTTCAGTTAACACACTCACCAATTGATTTTTACATGGTCCAACAGTCTTGAAGTCCCATCCATTGTGGAAGTTATAGGATTCAGTGTCATGAAGCAGGCTCATTGTAGGATAGGAAACAATGAAATGCTGAAACTTTTTGTATCAAATGACCTTCTGCGCTATGAGTATCATATGGTACCTGTGAAACATCAATTGCATTTTGTATGGAAGTCCAAATCCCCTTTTGGGTAGAAGAGGGGCTTTTTCTTTAGGGGGTGACTTCAGGTGACACAAGGTCCCAAACCCCAATGGGTGAGTGGGTCCCCTATAACTCTCCTCCCTTCTGATTGGCTCACTCAGAGTCCTCTGCATTAATTCTGCAGTGTCTATACACCAATACTGAGTGTTGTCCCTGCCCAACTCAGTGCCCCGTGATGTCCAAAAGGCAAGAGACATTTTTGCTGAACAGAGCGACTTTTGCCCCCAAGGACCCACTGAAAGTCTATCCCTCACGTTCAACTTTCCAGTAACCGCTCGGATGTTTCCTGTTTTTCCCTGGGATGTGTGACCCCGAGGGGGGTTTCCAGGCCACTATTTAATAGGAAAAGCAGGAAACATCCCCTCCATCATACACCCC